TCAACAAGGGTGCCTGAACAATGCATATTTGTATACCTAACCCTTAACTGTATCCCACAATTTTAAAATAAAAAATATGTTAAAAAAAAAAAAAGCATTGCCAGTACCTTAAGATTGCAAGTTTGGGTTTTGTGTTATCTGACTGGGCCCGTGATTTTCTCCTTGCAAAGTCAAGGAAGGGGTCAGAACAGATGTTTTTCCTGGGGCCTGGAAACATCAGCACTTGTCTCCTCTTTTGAAAGTGAGCAAGTAGCTTGACTTCTGGTTGGGAATGCCAACAGGGACTTCAAGTAGCTAATTAGCTAAGATGTTGAAAGGGTTGCAATGGGTTCTATTTGGCCCTCCTGTTACACACACTAACTTATTCATAGGTACTGTGGAAGCTCCCTGGACATGGAAATCAGCCTTCCTTGAGGGGCTACTGAAGAAAGCAAAAGAAAAATGTCTACCAGCACATATGTATCTTTTTCAAAACAACAATCTATTAGCCTTACTATGCTTATTATGCAAAAATAATTGTCTGGTCAATTATTTATTCCATTTGTAGCTTGTTCTCCATTAATTCCCTCTCTCCACAAAAATCTAAGTTAAGAGCTACTTTGTAGTAGAAGAGTGGCTTCAGTATATTTTAAAAAGTCTATCTTGTTCAGTTAAGTATTGCAATTGTCTTTCCATGATTAATAATTCATTTTTGCCCTTCCTACATTATTCTCCTTATTCTCAGTAAAACAGACATATTTGAAATTCATACTGACTCTTCAATCTTCTTATAGGAAATACTTATTTTAATTTGTGTTACCTCTTTAAAATGCCCTACTTTTAAAACACTACAGATTTTAGAAATGGGGTTAAAAGGGTCATTCCAAAAGCATCCTATTTTATGGTGAACGCTACTAATAAATAGCATACACCTTAAAATAACAGATAAGGCTTCATAATGACAGATGTTTTTAAAAATTAGATAGTTTTAGATTTTGCAAGAGTGATTTGATATAGTTTATAAAAGAAGCATGAAAACAATAAAACTTTAAATCTATTAAAGCAACATCACTCAGTGTGAAAGGGAAAGCAGCAATTATTTTGAATCTGAAACAGTACTTATGCTGTGTTTCCAGGTATAGAAGAAGGAGGAGGAGAAGGAGGAGATGAAGATTAGATTAATTACATAGATTTAAGATTTCAGAAGAGGGTATTTCTGAGGGGGAACTAAAGGAAAATGGGACAGATACCTATTTTCTGGGAGATGTGAATTGTTATGAAGGTAAGAGTAAAGATGGACTTCTAGAAACAGTCAGCCCACACATAATTCAAAATTGGCATTGCTGTCAAATATTACTTTATGTAATTTTTTTAATTACCAGTATTTATAAATAATATGTATTTGGCATGTGTGTGAAAGAGAAAGAGCAGGAAACATTTATTCTTCTTTCTACATGCTATAAATACTGTCTACTAATTGATTCTACTTTACTTTTCAAATAAGACCCCCAAAATTAACAAAATGTTACATATAGCATACTTTGATGGTATTCCAAACTATACAAAATTCAATGAGGTTAAGTTGGCTTAAAAGAACTTAATCCCATTTATAGAAAATGACAAGTAGCACTTAGTTGCAAGGAGTTAAGAGCTGTAGAAACTTCTTTTGAATGTAAACTATCACATCTGCCAAACTGGTAAATTGATTCTTCATATTTTGGAAGAGGGCAAATCCTTTGTCTAGAATCTCAAGATACTAATCAAAATATTTAAAGTCTATACAATGGCATGAATATTCTTGGATTATGTCAATAGACAAACCACAATAATAATACATTTATTTTGCATTTTTCAAGTATGCCTCATCCCAGTCTATTTTCCAAGGATTTAAATCTACTTATTCCAATGTACTAGAGCTTAACTGATTTATTCTTACTGGAGAAAAACACAAAACTTCATGAATTGCTCCTGTCCTTCATATATGTTAAATTAAAAAGAATTAATATGAATAACTTATTCTGTCCTGAATTTATTTTGACTGATCTCTATGGTCCATGAATATTTTAAGATGTCTGTATATGGGATAAAACAGATTTTTTTAGGGTTTTGCATTTTCTTGGACTTTTCCCATCTATGAGGAACACCCTTCCCTAGGCATGCACAAACTCCTGTGAAGGTACAAGTCTCTTCACATGTTGAGATCTATTCCTTACCTTTGTACAGAGTCTTGGGAACTTGGCAGGTGTGTCCACACCCATTAGAACAACATTTCTTCACCCCAGAGCACTCATTGTCAACTTCGCAGCTTTCAACGCAGGCAGCAGCAAATCCACTGGCTTTCTCAGGAGCCGGGCAATCCCCTTGCTTTATCAACAGGATGTATTTGAGGAACTCACAGCTAGTCAAGCATTCATAGTTCTTCTTGGGGAAGAGAGGCTAAGAAAGAGAGGAATTTAAAACGTTTTCCATTGAAGATACATGAAGTCTGATTTCTAAGACATCTGAAAGGAAGTTTAACATTTTTATATCATCAAAATTTCCCTTGAATGTTTTACAAAATAAATGCATTTGTTTTCTTTTCCCCTATCAAAGTGACATTGTGTACTGATTTAACAAAGGATTATGACTCATGAGAAATGATTTTATATTACATGCTACAGACACACATCTTGTATATGCACACATTCACAGATCATTATATTCTATCTCAGTTCAAAGATAGCTGTCAAAAATCTGATTATAAATATTCACGAAACATGTGAAATACAGTTTGAGGGGTTTTTTGAATGCTTAATATTACATATATTTTTATTTTCTAATGTTATTCTTTTTTCGTATTCATAAATACTAATCAAAATAGCAGTTGCTCTATAAAACAATTCTCACAATGGTAACACATTCATTGGTATTATATCACAAAGTTGTTCAAGCCTGTTAATTGAACATACTTCAATAATATCCAGCTTTTAGAGTTAATATGGAATTGACAATTGATTGTGCAGTACAATAATGTGAATCTTCCTTTAAAAATCAGCATGCACCTGTGTGATCTGTGAAATAGATTCTGAAGAGCATCTTGCTGAGGACATTTTGGTTGAGCCCAGAATGAATCAAGCATTAGTGAGAATAGGAAGCCCTTGACTTATTAGCGGGATGTATTATTGAAAAAGCATGAGCAATGTGAAACAATCATTTATCAGATGCCTTTTTTTCCTTAGGAAAAATGGCTCAGGACAGCACTCTGTCATACCTAAGACATGAGTTGCAATCAGAAGATAATGGCTTTTTTCTGCCACTGAATGGAGGAGCTGCTGTAGCTTTGAAAAGCTACCCTACTCAGGCAAAGAAAAGGAAAGGAAATGTCACTTTCTGTGCTTTGACCTTCCTTTTGCCTTATGAAGAGAATGGCCAAGATTTCCCCAACAACCCCATCCTAGACCCAATTCTAACTCTAACCCTCTTTTTGCTTATAGAAGATGGCTGAAAAGATGACCACCGTAATCCTAACTTTTACCCTAAACCTCCTTCTACGTTTATGAGAGATAGTTGCCACAATAATTGCACAAATCCTAAACCTATGTTCACCTGGAACACACCTGCCAAGCCAGGTTAAATTTCCCCACCTTTTTACTGGGAGTGGTCAAGATGTCACGAATAGAATGTAATCAGAAAAGTTTCATGCCGCTGTGGACCTAGGCTTGTAAGAGGTTAGGTGAGGAGGTGGTGCCCGCACATCTTCCTGTGCTAGTTGGTTGTGAGTGATGACACAGCTGCAGGGAATGACAGGGTTACAAGAAAGAAAGAACCCAGAAGTACTTTCTGACCACACAGAGGACAGCACCCTGCCAGGAATGGCTGTCATGAGTTGCTCCATATGTAAAAGGCAAACTTGCATGTGTTTGTCTTGTACATGTCAAGCTCTGTTTGCTATAATGGTTCAGGCTACCTGAACCAATGCAAAGACCATTCAGTGAAGGGCTACCATAGTTTATTGCTGTTGGAAACAAGAGATGAACAAAGAGGGCACTTTCTGTTCATTTGATGTCACAATGGAGTTAGAAATATAATAAATAAATGTGAACTTAATGCCAGCATGCTGTCTGATCCTTCGCGGTGATGACTAACTATGGCTCATTGCTGGCAACACCTGGAAACACCTAAGTAGCACCTGTATAACTTCTGGTAACACTCACCAGCATGCTACCTCCTGCTCTTCACTGATGACTGAATATGGCTCTCTACCATCTGGTGACACCTGGTCATACCTACTACTTCTTTGTAATGCCTGGACAACACCTGGAAAATACCTGGTAAGACCAGCTCATGTGTTGCTGTTGCTTCTCAAGAACAACTGAATACAGCTCCCCTCCACCAGGTAACACCTGGTAGATCTGACAGCATGCTGACTGCTATTCCGCACTAGTAAATGAGCATGACTCTTTACTCAGATGGGTGCCTGCTTGTACTTAGGTAACCTGGCAGAGACAGTGTTAGTGAATGGCTTGAACTACTAACCAGACAGTATTTCAGACAGAGTTAGTGGTATGTTAATTTTTTAAAATATTTTATTTTAAAGATGTGGGGTACAATTCAGGATTAAAGTTTGAAATCTCTCGTGTGAGTTGGGAGGTTGGGTTGGGAAGAATGTCTCTAACTCCAAAAAGACAGTTTGTTCATTAATTTTAACCTGTTATTTCTTATATTGATGATAACTGGAAATGACATTAAAAACTCAAATCATAGCTTCAACAAGGGAATATTCTAGTAATCCTGGGATAACTACAAATAAACATAAATTGTTCCCCATTGTCTCACCTGGTCCTTTTTCCCAATGTTGAATTTAAAAATACATATGAGTTAAGATGGTAAATCTTATGCTATGTGCATTTTACTACAATTTATTTTTAAATGTAAGAAAGAGCTAGGAAATTTTATATACCATGAGGATGTGTGCAGCATCAAATAGTATTGCTTCATAGCCACAATAATTTTTATGATATTGTAAATCTAATGGATATCAAAACATCAATTTTCATTACAAATTAAATGCAATTAAATATATGTTCTTTTCTTAGATTAATTAACAAAAAAGAAAGAGAAGAAACACTAGCTAGAAAGAGTATAGTTTCAAGGTTTGAATTAGAACTGTGCATGCCATATAAAGTTGTTTGTTAATAATTAATTATATATAAAATTTGAAAATAACATGAACTGACTGAACTAAAATAGTTTGAATTTAAGATCTTTACAGGGAAAACTTGGAAAAAAGGCTGTGGTGTCAGGATTGAATTACCACAAATTTACAGCTAGTTAATTAAAAAAAACTTTATAAGGATTTAAAGCATCATCAATTCTCAAGGCTTTTCTCTCTTACTCTATTTCACAGTTCATTTTTCTGTAAGCTGCTAGACGTGTTTTACTTCATTGGCTTTTGAAGTTCTAAATGTAGGTCCAAACCTGAGTTAGTAATCCAAGAAGTATGCTAGCAGATCTGTAACAATTATGTAGTGTTTGCCAACTTTTCTCTTTCAACAAAATGTATACATTATGTGCACTGAAAGAAAATACTTAGTGACCAAAATCACTGGCTGCTGCTTCACAAGCTAAGATTTCCAAGTAGAAATAATTTCATTAAATCTGGCAAGTGTTTACTGCCTGTTAACTTGGAAATCACAGTGACTTCATGGAAATCACTATGCACCATGATACAATGAAATCAACTCAGTTCATACTTCTTCAGAAGTATGAAAACATATTCAAATATATGAAACATATGAAAACAGAACATGAGATGAGAATCAGATAAAGTTTGAGTTCTCTATTCATATGCTATTCTTGTTATTTATTCGTCAACTGCCACACCTTTGAACTATGAGGGGCAGGAAAAGAGAGATGGTGTCCCCTCACCTTCATTACTTACTGAGCTAATGGGGCAGACTTAAAAACAAATAACAAGACAGTCAACTAGAGTAAATATGAAGCATGTGTTCTCAATGACCACAGAAGAAAAATAATCATAACCAAAACAATAATTTAGATCTTCCAGTTGATGTGAGAGTTGTTCTGCATGGATATTCAATTATTTTCCTTTTTGATGAGGATTCAGAAATGATTTCTGTGATTCTTTTGAGGTCATGGAAACTCGTGGTTTCCAGACAGGTACATAATATTGAAATAGTACAGGTAATATTATATGACATGAGGTAATGCACATAAGAAATAAGCACCATTGTGCATAGTTGGTTCACAATATATAAGGGTTAGACCATTTGTGTCTTCTTTTCCTACTGCTACAAGTTTACTGTTTAACATTTCAAAATTCTTCTGTTATTCTGACAAAAATTTTATAAGATACAAAACTAGAATGTAGAGTCTGATTTTTTCTACATTGTGACCAGCCACTAGAGTCCAACCTGCTACTTCCAGATTAAGCATTAAAATCTGCATCGAGGGAATTGTACCCTATTAGAACCGTTAAGAGGGAAATAGTCCAACTTTTTGGGAGTGCTATTTAACTGTTCTATTGCTTATATTTATCAAAGGCAAAGCTTAATACTGTCTATCAATTTTCTTGCATAATTCTCTTGGATTAGGTTGAAAAATATTAATGGGCTGAATGTAAATTAGAGAACATATGGCATGTGTACATAAGGTCTCTCTCCATGTCTTTAATCATAGCTTAATGAGAATTTACTAGTTGAATGGAATAAGGATAAAAATATGTACAGGACATAGAAAATGATGTGTGAATATTGCTACACCAGATATAAAGAAAATATGTAAATTGGCCCCATAATGGCCAGTAGAAAATCCTGTGAACAAAGTTCATTTAGGTGTCATTAAAATAACTTCTGACCATTGAACATGTAAAATGTCGTGTGATATTACAAGTTAATTAGTGGAGACTTGTTAAGAGGTGTGTGAAAATATTAGGAAAGGAATTATTCAAATCAATAATGCCCATCATTTTCATGGTAAGTGAAGACACTTATGTCAACATACATATATGAGCTCAATCTTCTATTTCTTGTTTATACAATTATATCCAGGCAATGAGCACTAGTTGTCAATTGCAAAGTTAACTACAAGTCCTTTTATGAAACTATTCATATGAAAAGTTCACAAATCACACAAATGTCAATCTTTTGAAAGGTCATTGGCTCCAATTTAAAATCTGAAAAAAATATGGTTACTAGGCTCATTATTTTTGTTTATTTTTTCTGTATTTCCTTTCCCCCAAACTAAGAAAGAAGCAATCTTTAAAGGTTGTGCTAAAGCCTCATGAGTGGTTCATAAAAAGAAAATAAAAGATTATGTATTTTTCTAAAGTATTTAGTATCTAGTGGATGTCATTATGCATCCAAAAAAGGGATAAATAAAGCAAAATAGTTTTAAAAGATCTTTGGATTAAGTGAAAAACCATTATATTTTAAGGG